CAGATGTGTGCAGCGCATTTTATGGAGGACTGTTTACTGATCCTGGGAGAGTAACGTTAGACTTAAAATGCTGGCAGTTCTGACTCGCGTAAGTACGTTTTCATTTAAAGGATTTGCCACTGATGATTCAAACGCGAGTTTTGAGCAGTGTAGAGTAGCGCTTGTTGTTTGTCATTTCTCCAATCACAAATGCAGACATGGTTTTATGTTTATGCGGCGCGATGAACGCAACGCGTAAAAAGACAGTATAAGTCATTATAATCAGTAATTATGTCCCCACTGGATGCAACAAATGCCTCGTTTGTAATGGGTTTTAATGTTTTCGCTCTGGCCGGGACACGGCATCGACAGTATGTGAGGGGCGTAACATTTCCGTCTCACCGCTTGAGGTATTCGGCCAATCACAACGCATTGGATAGCTGGCCAATCACAGCACACCTCGCTTTTCAGACCGATGAGCTTTGTAAAAATCGACGCGTTTTAAAAAGGCGGGGCATAGAGGAGAAACAATAATGTACAGTATGTGGAAAATAATGTTTTTTTTACTTTAAACCGCATAAACACATTTCATTACACCAAATACACAAAATAATGTTCTTTTTAGCAGCATCATATGACCCCTTTAATTCGAACTTATTCAGTTTCATTTTAGATACATTTCATATTTCATGCAATTCATATGTGTAGCCTACATTATTCCTCTATTACATCCCCAGTGGGCAATTGATGTCAAAAAGACGTCAAATTGACAAAAACAGGTCAAAAACACAAATCAAATTGACATCAAAAACTTGTCAATTTGACGTCCACACACTGATGTCCTATTCTAGACCACCAAAATAACAACACAAAAGTAATAAATGTAAGAAAAGTTTTATTCATCAAGCAACAATTCAAAAATACAAATGTAAACTGGATTTTGAATCCCCTGAAAAACTACAGTACAGTACATGTAAATCAGAGGTTAAAAATACTACGGATGATAATGAATTACAGTTCAACACTTTAAAAAAACTCACATTTTAGTGTACAATTTTTACAGAATGAGCATTAAATATTGTATCACAATGTGTCAATATAGTAGGATGCATATTGAGTAATTCCCAAAAACAGTATACACATTATTTAAGTAATGTGTATACACATTATTACAGTAACACTAACATTTTATCACATAAATTAGGCAGTTTCACTTTTTCCAAAATTAGTACTGCACGTTTCATTTTAAATGTACAATTCAAGCATTCTTGAGAATCACAACTTATCAACAACAGAGCATGTGTCAAGGGCCTGAAAGTCCAACTCCTGGTTTAATTATACTCTATTCAGGTTTCCAACACATGGAAATGTAAAGCATAAGGTTGAATTGGGTCCATTTTATCTTGTTCTCGTTATCCATCCACCTCATTATATGAAGGACAGTTGAAGGCTACATTTCAGTAACACAAATAAAATGTTTCATTTAATAAAAATATACATATATAAATACATATAAAATAATTCAGTGTCAAACAGACTGAGACACATTAAAAAAAAGTGACATGCCTCTTGCATCTCATACGAAAATAAAGGCATTCAGAATAGGAACATTAAATATAGGCATGAACTCACCAGAAAGGGACCATCACCATCACACCATCTGGCTGTGTTTGTGGACAGTTAGTTGTTTGGAGGACTGTCAAACATCTCTTTGATCTTAATAATGGACACAATACTTAAGTTATGTGCATTATATTTTGCCACAGTAACACTATGCTTTATTTGGAATTTTTAATTATAACCAGGAAAATATAATATATACACTCATATTTTTATGCTTACTTTTCTAATATTAAAGTTTCATTATGTACAAATCAAAACACATACTTGTAGTTCTTTGAACTTAATAATGGACACAATACTTAAGTTATGTGTATTATATTTTGCCACAGTAACACTATGCTTTATTTGGAATTTTTAATTATAACCAGGAAAATATAATATATACACTCATATATTTTTATGCTTACTTTTCTAATATTAAAGTTTCATTATGTACAAATCAAAACACATACTTGTAGTCTTGATTCGTGAAAGAACTTCTTGCTTTTACTGGCTTTAGGACGTAAAGGACACTCTCTTGTACGTGGTTCAAGTTCTCAAGGATGATTTACGCTTTCTAGATGGGTGGGAGTGGACATGAAAAACAATTTCACTGAAAAAGAATTATCACAGTTTTTGAATGAGCAAGGTAACCTCCTAGCTTTTTTAAATGTGAGTTTTCATTTGACATAATATCTTTCACATCAATCAACATTTTTTGACCGTTTAAATTATCACATGCAAAGAATCCCTGTAGTGGCTCACACAGTAACACAGCGATGACTGCCAGTAAACATGACATTTAAAAACACTGTATCTTCAACATCTCTAAATAATAAAATTTTTACCTTTTTAGCTTTCCCTTGATATCAGCAACTCACATAACTTATCTGCAGAGAGAAACAAAAACAAACGTGAGTGCATGGGACATGATAATTAAAAATTCTACAAAAATCCAAAGAAATATTAGTATTGAAACGCATCAAATCAATGAAATCCGTTTCTGTGCGCCTGTTTGTGCTTTAGTGAAGGCTGCGCATTAATTTAGAGGTGATTAAACTGACTGGAACAACAAGTGCATTCAACTGTTTGAACACACACCAGCCAATCAAACTCGAGTATTCAGACAGACCAACGCCGTTGACCGCTCTCAAACTTGTGAAAGGAAACAGGACATTCCAAGAGTCCTTCAAATCCCTGGGAACATCCTGGGATGTATCAGAGGAATTATACAGCAACATGGAATCATTTGTCTGCAGGATGTATGCACCATCGTCTAGTGTATGTGATGTCAATGATCTACGTTACCTGCTATTCTGTACCAAAAGGGGTGAAGTGGAGTCCAGCCTACTTCCCCCTTGCAGGGACTGCTTAAAGCTGCATATACAGCGTGCCAATTACCAGGCAGCTGTCTGGAGGCACTGTCTGGAAGGACAGCCAGACATACCCGAACCAAAAGGACATGGATGGACAACTGATGACAAAGGTATGCTTATAATAAATACAATAATTACATTAGGATGTATGCAACATCGTCTAGTGTGTGTGATGTCAATGATCTACATTACCTGCTATTCTGTACCAAAAGGGGTGAAGTGGAGTCCAGCCTACTTCCCCCTTGCAGGGACTCCTTAAAGCTGCATATACAGCGTGCCAATTACCAGGCAGCTGTCTGGAGGCACTGTCTGGAAGGACAGCCAGACATACCCGAACCAAAAGGACATGGATGGACAACTGATGACAAAGGTATGCTTATAATAAATACAATAATTACATTTTCTAATAACTAATAATAAAATAGTATAAATATGTATAGGTCATTTCTAGACATTTGGACACCTCACTGAAATGGATGAGAAATATCTTCCACTTATTTGTACAGGTATGCTGACTGGATGCGGGGACCCCCAGCACCAATGGCTGTTCTGGAGCTTATGGCCTACAAGTGTTCACGGACCTGCAAGCTTCCTGACTGTTCCTGTCTTGCCAACAAATTAAAGTGCACAGAAATGTGCAAGCTACAAACCTGCAGCAATCAGAGGGAGGAGGAGGAGGATACTGATGTCATGAAACTGGTTGAATATGATGATGATGATGATGAATAAACAGAAAGTTTGCAATGACCAAATAAGTTCATGAACAAGATAGAATTATTTTGTTTTTCTTTGTATGACGTTCTGTTCAAATAAATTTACAAGATTTTTTCATTCTTTGGCTCAACGGTTAGTGTCATTGAAGGCTGATTTCTGTGACAACGCTACCACTAACAAAAGGTTATCATGTTGTAATATCATCTAGAGATATGTACTAAAAAAAAATCAAACTAGAATTTGCCACCTTGGGTGGTACCAATTAGTGAAAATTGTGGCCTGGGCCCACGGACTATTAACCACAGTAGCTAAATGTATAACTTGAATTACAAATACGTATAAAGGTAAATAAAAATAGGACACAGTCTATGTGAACAGTCACCGCACGAAATTATCTGTTAAATTAGTTGACTCTAACCGAAATTTTAGTTTGTAGGCCTCCCAATTAATCTGGACTCACAGATGTTAGTGAATGTATTATCAGGAAATCGGTATTTTTGGTAGATTTAATAAATGTAACAATCACTCCACTGTTTACCTTTCTATTTCAGCATGTGCAATGTACAAAAAAGTATTTTTTTTTTTTTTTAAGTTTTCAAGTCAGCAGCTCCGCGTGCAGAAATTCAACGGCTGCACATCACGGTTCAAAAGATGTGCCAAATGCGTTTCGATCCTTCAGTTAAGAAAATAATTATATTTAAACTTAATCAATCTAACGACAAATTCATATTACTCCATAAATTTTTATAAATCCTAATTAAACATACTAAACATTGATGTCAATATGACATCAATTGGACGTTTAAAACTTGACGTTGATTTGACGTAAACTGAACGTCAAACATATTGGCCTACATATATATTAAACTAATTTCAGTGTGGGATAACTGTTGGGTTTAATAAAGACTCGGAGCAGTGATTTCCTTGATAAACGCACAGACCAAAAAAGTGCGTCATACTTTACAGCTTGTTCAACAACAACAAAAAAAACAAATCAAACAACATGTACAGGTCTTCTTCAGTAAAAGAATCAGAATACAAAACATATGCTTAGGGCTCCCCCTAGTGGTAGTCTTAAAGAACTTAAAGGAAGAATTCACATGAGACAGCTTCAACTAAATTTACACAATCTAAAAACATAATTATTCTGGTAAGAGTGTATTTTTTATTTTCCCCAACACTCCTTCTCACTCGCACACAAAATAGTTAATTAACTGGTTTCACTCCAGCCAACTGTCTCAGCTTCGTGAACTTTTCTTCACTCAGTCCTTTGGTGAATATGTCAGCAATCATGTCTTCAGTCTTGCAGTATTTCAAGTCCATGACTCCACTTGCAGTTTTCTCTCGAATGAAGTGGTACTTGATGTCAATGTGTTTGGCACGTCCATGAAATTGTGGGTTCTTTGCCATACAGATAGCAGACTGATTATCCTCAAACATCAACGTCGGTCCTGTTTGGTTGACCTTTAAATCTGTCAACAGTTGTCGCATCCAAACTGCTTCTTGAGCTGCACTTGCCAATGCCATGTACTCAGCTTCAGCAGTAGAGAGAGCTACACATGTCTGTTTCTTGCTTCTCCAACTCACCGCTGCTCCACTGATTTGAAACATGTATCCTGATACATATTTGCGATCATCTTGGTGTCCAGCCCAATCTGCATCAGAAAATCCAATGCATTCCTTTGGCTTTTCTTTGCTATACAGCAGACCTAGATTTAGAGTGCCATTCAGGTATCTCATGATCCGTTTGACAGCAGTCCAGTGATGCTTTGCGGGTTTAGCACAGAATCTCGCAACATTGTTCACAGCATAAGCAATGTCTGGTCTTGTTCTTGTTGACAAATAAAGCAGACTACCAACAGCAGACTGAAATTGTGTCGAATAATAGTCAGGTGGTTTTCTCACTCTTGCTGATCTTTGGATATCTTGTTCCGCTGAGTCCTCACTGTAAGGATCTCGACAGTCAAATTCCACATACCGTTTCACAATGTTTTCTTCACTTGCATTAGGCTCCTTCTCAACTGCATGATCAGACTCATTGAATATAACATCTCGGCTGTAGAACACCTTTGCAAGTTGTGTATCATAAAGTCGATATCCTTTCGTGTCTGTTCCATAGCCCTGAAGGATACATTTCTTTGCTTTGGGATCAAGTTTCTTCCGTTCATCATTGGGTACATGTGCATATACAGTACATCCAAATATACGTAGATGATCAACATTTGGTTTCTCACCTGTCCAGGCTTCAAAAGGAGTCATATTCCTTTCACTGCTTTCGTTGGGCTTCTGTTTCTCAGATACACAGCTGTTGATAGTGCTTCAGCCCAGAACTTCTGAGGTAGCTTTGCATCAGCTAACACTGATCTCACTGTCTCCATCAATGTTTTATTAATTCGTTCAGCTGCCTTGTTAGCTTTGTGTTTATAGCCCGCCTTCTTACTCTCTTTGTTGAAGTCTGTGTTTGGAGCAGATTTGTTGAACTCTCTGCAGTTACGCTTGATATGTCCATACCTTCTGCAGTAATGACATTTTGGGCCTTTTTCTCTCAAGAACTGTTTTCCAGTCAGAGCTTTGACATCACTGCTGGTGTTTTCAACATCACGTTCTCTCAGTTTGCGTTCTTCATGCAGCAATCGTTCTGTGGCGACCTCCATTTTAGGTACATCCACACTTGCTTCAAGTGCCGTGACTAACACGTTGAACGAGTCAGGCAAACTGGCTAGCAGGTGTACCACACGATCTTCCTCTTCGATATGATCTCCCACAACTGACAGTGCATCAAACGTTTCAGTCAACACCTTGATGTGCTCTTGAATCGAGTCTCCGTTTTTCAATTGCAACGAGTACAATTTGCGCCTCAGTGCTAGCTTATTTGCCCAAGTTTTCTTCTGAAACTGATCCGACAACTTTTTCCACACGACAGTAGGATCTTCCGGCTCTCCAATTAAATAGAGCAAAGACGGTTCTATTTACAATACAATGGTAGCCAGTGCACGATCACTTTTAGTCATATAACATGCTAACTTACTTGGATCGGATCGTGGAGCAGTCTCTGTACCATTTACCAAGTTCCATAATCCGTCTCTCATCAATGCCATTCGACATTGCACTTTCCACGTAGGATAGTTTGATCCATTTAATGGAACAACTGTCACCGTCTTGGACTCCGAGCTCATTTTTTATTCACTGTCGCTCAATACCTTCAATAAGCCGTTCAGCAGCTTCACTGTAGCGTTTTGCTTCTGGGCCCATAACCTGTTGGTTTTAATAAAGACTCGGAGCAGTGATTTCCTTGATAAACGCACAGACCAACAAAGTGCGTCATACTTTACTGCTTGTTCAACAAAAAAAAACAAATCAAACAACATGTACAAGTCCTCTTCAGTAAAAGAACCAGAATACAAAACATATGCTTAGGGCTCCACCTAGTGGTAGTCTTAAAGAACTTAAAGGAAGAATTCAAATGAGACAGCTTAAACTAAATTTACACAATCTAAAAACATAATTATTCTGGTAAGAGTGTATTTTTTATTTTCCCCAACAATAACTTCCTATTTTTACCCAATTAACCACCGGAAGAAATTGCCGTCCAAGCTGAACTTAAAATGTTGCAATACAGAAGAAGCTTGATCAAATCTTGACTACAATTTGACGTCAAATTGACATCAAGGTGCCCGCTGATATGCTGATATGATATTCGTACTAGTATTAAAATGCACAGTTTAATGGGTAAATTAATTTATCAGTGACAGAAATTCAACAAACACACACACTTGTTAGGCTTTTATTTGTGCACGTAACTTGAACCGATCTATGGAATGTGTGGTGGATGCTTCGTCTTTCACAGGCTGCTTTTGGCTGCTATATTTGTATTAACCACCAGATGGCGATGTTTTCAACACACTCGAAGCTTTGACTCTTTTCCCGAAACAGTCACGAGACTTCACGAGACTTCATTTGCCCATCACGAAATATATGCCTGTTTCTAATGAACCCAGATTTATTTTAATCAATTACTGAATCTAATACGAA